TCTTGTAAATGGAGATTCTCTGTTGGACAATAAAGACTCTATTTATTTATTTATGTACTAATTTACATTTATGTTAACTTATCGTCCTCTTATTCCAAACTGTCTATAACAGCAAACGTGGCCTATTTATACACATGTGGAGTTTCTCGCATTTATCAGAACTTGCTACGAAAATTCTAGACATCCTCCACCATTTCTTACACTGGAACAAAGTAATTGCATTCACCAAAAAAAGCCATTTCTAGATCATTCATCGGGATCGAGAACTTTCTGGAGTGCTTCACGATTGCTGCCAATGTCTACCAGGGTGGTTTCGGAGGTTGAGGTTGACTTATTCTATTAATCTGAAAAGGCCCAAATAAAACAGAGAGGGACTTGGGGATTAGAGCAAGACTGGGAGGGTCGAAAATGGTTCACACAACAATAGCTTAGACCTCAGACAATAGCTTAGCTGATAAAATGCAGTAAAGACATGAATAGAACTCAAAAATGTTTTTTTTTATAGTGAAATGTGATATATAATAAACGAGTTATGAGTTCAGTCCCAAAACTCTGTAAAAGTATAATTCAACTTCAAGTTTTTAATGATCTCTGAATATCTAAAGACGTTAGACAAGTTTACAGATGGTGCTAAAAATATTACATATTTAAACAAATAAATAAGACAAACTATTTAAAATAATTTTTTCTACACCCACATGGATATTAGCTTATCTATGCACAGATTACAAAACGAAAAAGTATGCTATTGCCTTCAACTGAACGAATATATTTCATATCCATTCTAAGTAATGAGAATACTGCAAAAAAATGAAATCCACAGTTCATATTTGGATCAACCGACTGCTATTATTTTTAAATTTTAAATAAGTGACAATTATGTCAAACTAATTGTTAGTATATTTTTTTAGTTATTGAGATTAAACATATATTAAAATGAGTTATTCTTGTGTAGAATCGATAAATAATAGAATTTCTATTTTTATTTCGTCTATAATTATAAATAATTTCTTAATTTAAATAAAACTATATGAAGTCAATTTAATTACGAGTATTAAAGCAAAAAACATAAACGCGTAGATAGTCCTGTGTTCAGCGTTCTTGCCTTCCACACGGAAGACTCGAGTTCAAATCTCAGGTGGAGAAAGATGAAATTTTTTTTCTTGTTTATTTTATTTTATAAATTAGTAAAAGTCATAAATTATTTTTAAATTAATTATTTTATCTTAATAACCTAAAATAATTTTTAATATTTGTATATTTTCGTTAGTGGGTCGTAAAAAAATATACTGTACAACACGAGTGGATTGTCCATATCCACTATTGTTGCACAAACTACTATTTTCTATACCCACATGGATATTAGCTTATCTACGCACAGATTACAAAAAGAAAAAGTATGCGATTGCATTCAACTGAACGAATACATTTCATATGCATTCTAGGTAGTGACAACACTGCAAAAAAAAATCCACCAATCACAGTTCATATTTTGATCAACCGACTACTATTATTTTTAAAATTTTAAATAAGAGACAATTCTGTCAAACTAATTGTCAGTATATTTTTTAGTCATTGAGATTAAACATACATTAAAATGGGTTTCATCTTACTATTCTGAGGTGGTAATTTCGAAGTTTTAGCATTAATATATTGATGTAATTTAATTTTTATAATGTTTTAACTGAAATTACATTTGTAAAATTATATTTCACTTGTTATTTTCATTTACATTTTAATAAAATGCGATTTTATTTCTGTTTTAACCTAACTTTTAGAATAATTTCACTATTTCCTTCCACAAAATATAAAACAAATTAATTCATGAAATTGTCAATTGTTGAAACATACGGTTCTTGAGTTTGCAACGTTGCCAAACACTTGAATATAAAAGCACTGTCTAATAATATCTATAAGTTGGTGTTCGAAAATTGTTTTGTTCGATAAAATTCACATTTTGTTTTCAATTTTCTCATTTTATGTATAATTTTTCGCGAAGCAACCCGCGATGTCTCCAGGCCGTACAGATTAGGTAAATTAGTTAATATTTGTTTAATTTTTCTTATTTTATATATTTTTTTTGCGAAGCAACCCGTGTAGATTCCAGGCCGCACGAGAAGTCGTTGCTTCATCTTCTTGTTTTTTATAATCTCATAATTTATACATTTTAAATAATCCTGAAACTTACAATTTTATCAACAACTTGGCAACACTGTAATTTTTAAGACCGAATCTGTCATCTAGAGTAAATTTTTGTGAATACAACCTGTAAAATTGAGGTTTTTAATTAGGTTTTTCTCGAAAAATACTTGTTTTTACATGATTTTTTTTTACGAAAATTTATTATAGAAACTGGTTACTTTTGAGTGTTTATTTTTTACAAAATTTGCACCTTAGGATTCCTCGACAGACCCTTAAAATGAGTTATTCGTCGATAAATAATAGAATTTCTATTTTTATTTCGTCTATAATTATAAATAATTTGTTAATTTAAATAAAACTATGTGAAGTTAATTTAATTACGAGTATTTAAGCAAAAAACATAAACGCGTAGATAGTCATGTGGTCAGCGTTCTTGCCTTCCATACGGAAGACTCGAGTTCAAATCTCAGATGGAGAAAGTTTAATTTTTTTTCTTGTTCATTTTATTTTATAAATTAGTAAAAGTCATAAATTATTTTTAAATTAATTATTTTATCTTAATAACCTAAAATAATTTTTAATATTTGTAGAATTTCGTTAGTGGGTGGTAGAAAAACTACTATTTTATGACAGTATGTAGTAAAAATTACATATACAACTAAGTATCTCATTTTTATAGAGCATCGAATACCGCAATTTAGGCGAAATATATGTTGTTTTTTTACTTTTCCATAGCACTGTTGAATTAAGTATGGACATCTTAATAGAAAAATGTTTAGCTTTTCTATTAATTTATGTTTATTTTCAATATCTATAAATTTCATTAAAATAAAAGATTTCTGGTTTGTATGCAACAAACTATCTTGGTTAGAGGATAACACGATTGATAATTACAGGCAAAACTATAACTTTATATAGGTAAACCATTTAAATGTACATACCATTTTCTTAAGTACAATTTATCGAGTATATTATATTAACTGGTTGATCCATTTTCCGATTCAGACTTTTAAAGTGAAAAACCATTTATCTCTTTATCTTTATCAAATTTTTATTGTACATTTCCATTTCCATAATGATGTCAAGTAATTACCTCATCAGAATAATAAAATTTTTCCTTTTAGCGGGTTTTGTGGGAAAAAAATTACAAATTTTTTGCTTATTTATTACTTCATAGTATTTACAATTGGGACCAAACTATTCTTTGGATGGTCTTAGACACTGAAACAAAATATGAAACAAATTACAGTCGTAAAACTTTATGATAGTTAAAAAATCAACATAACCTTAAACATTTTAATTTACCTTGCCTTATAAAAGTTTTTCGGGAACAATCGTTGACTTGGCACACATACTTTCAATTTATTGAAGACACAGTTCTTAATTAAACACGTTTTTTTAAATAAGCACAATTAAAATAATCCGATGTTTTTATTTGAAGTATTTAATAGCAGAGGAATGACACTAATGACAGTGACAGTTTGTTTGAGTTGGTACAGTATTGCCAGAATATGTTTTTGTTATTTACCAGATTTGTCTAAAAAATGTATCAGATTCCTTAAATGTATCAGATTTTTCGAATTCTATTTGCAGTGACATTCAATGAATTATGAAAGGGAAAAAAGGGGGTCTTTATTGATAACGAACCCAAACAGGGAATACAATATATATAGTTTACACGTGAAGACTGATGCACGCAGAAAGTACTACATCCAGTATAATTGTGAATTGTACTAGACTGGCAACACTGGTTTGACAACCTTGTTTGTGAGCGGCGCGCCAATGAATGTGTTCTTTGACACTTTGAAGGATCTGTTGGCGTGTTGGCTTCTCTTTTTAGCTATATGCATTCGTCATATCGTCTCACTCGTGTTAGGCTCACTCATCATAATGCGCCACAGACACAGTACACTTAGGTATACTGTGACACAGAGACGCGATCAGCCAGAGGACAATGATGTACAAAAAATATAGATTAACACGTATGAAAATAAAAATATTAAAATTAATTTATATTTTTGTTATTTATGTAATATTAAAATAATATGTTTTTATGAAATTTAACTGGGTGTACACTGCACAAATGAACCAATGGAGAAACCGCCCCTGATTGGACTTAAATAGGCTCTTCCTGTCTATTCTGTAGTTAATTTCTAATTGCTGATGAGTGGTGTACTTTAGAACTGCAACAAGGCTTCTTCAGCTTAACAGGTTCTTTAAAACATGTAATGGTTTTTATTTCCTCTGTTGATATTTTTTTATATTTTACCTCATAGCTGTTTGGCAGAAACGGTACACTAGTTTCTGTAGAGACATAATTCTTTAATGTAATAAATAATTATATATTGTTATTAAAACATTAATCGCTCCTAATGTAAGATATCTACCAAATATGTAACGTCTATTATTATACTGACAAGGACGGACATATTATTATCATCCTTTTGTAGGTACTATAATTGAATAAATACTTTAATAAAGCAAGACCCAAATTGAAAGCTGACCTTTCAATTAAATAAAATTACTTCATGCATAAACTTAACTAATGTAATCATAATTCCACATTCTATGTAAGTACCAATGCAGTATGTACCTAATATAACGAATATGTTTAAGTTGATATAGTACGTTAAATAAATTTGCATTGCTATTAAGTTATCCAAACACGACTAGAGGAAATAAACAAACAAAAGATTAGATGTGTACTTAGAATTTCGTTGCGTAATTCAAATACCTACAAATTTGTTTCCTCTGAATGACGAATAAGTTTTTATTTGTTTCAAAAATGTTTGTAACTTTTTAAAATTATTTGACGGTCTTTGATTGATTGTTACATTTCTCCATATTTTGTTTTCCAGATAAAGACAGAGACTACATCGGTTTCGCTACCCTCCCGGACCAGATCCACCGAAAATCAGTCAAAAAAGGGTTTGAATTTACGTTGATGGTTGTTGGTGATTCTGGCCTTGGAAAATCAACCTTGGTGAACAGCCTTTTCCTCGAAGATCTCTATAAGAACAGAAAAATTCCCGATGTCAACGAAAAAATGACAAAAACAACAACCATCGAAAAAAAGACCATGGAAATTGAAGAAAGAGGAGTTAAGTTAAGGTATATAATGATACCTAATTTAGTTATTCAGTTAGCCATTTAGTCAGAAATCGCAATCGGAAATAAGTTTTTATTTTATAAAAAATCATTAGTTAATAAAAACTTCCTCAAAAATAATATTTATTTTAAATTTTATGTAATTAATCATGAAACATGTAATCGATACAGTAACATATCGCGTAAGTACGTATAATTTTTTTAAACATACAGGGTGGGGACTTTTAACTGGCGCAAATTCGCTACAGCTTCAGGTTGAAAAATGCGGATAAAACGCAAAAACACGTCGATTGAGTTTTTTTGTAAGCTTTCGGTAATACCATAAAAAAATTTTTTCATCCCCTTTACAGGGTAAAACTCACCCCGACTTCAGTTTTTTAAATGGGATGATACCACTTGTGGCATCTTGTTGGAAAGGTCTTTCCAGAAGAAAATGGATTGTGCCATTTTTTTCCATTTTTACCCAATGGTAATTTTCTAGCGTGAAAAAATTATTTCATATCTAAAAATTCTTCTGATGCTTACAAAACCTTTCAGGTACAGTTTTAAGTGGTCAGTATTTTCTCAATTTGCTTTTAGAAAAGTGTATGAACCGCTTTATCTCAATTTGGACTTTTTATTGTAAAAAATGGACTCGGAAAAAATGAAGGTAAGTATAGGTACAAAAAAATTATCGCATCTTTATCAATTGTAAGGCTGCAATGAATCAATTTATTCTGTCGAATTAGTATTCTTCATTTTCGTTAAAAATGCCGGCGTATTTAACGGAAACTTTGAAAATAGAAATTTTGATGATGATTGGGTTCGGGGATCGGATGCGTATCCAAGCAGAAGTTGCGGCATTATTTCAAGCGCGACATCTAGAATTGCCTCCGTTACACCGGGCTACAGTAGGCAAAATTGAGGCTCATTTCAGGTTGCACGGGTATTTACGGCAAATTCCTCGAGAAAGGCCACAACGAGTAGACGAAGACACTAGACTAAATGTTTTTCTAACATTTGAGGAAAATCCAATCAGTTCTGCCAGACGAGTAAGTAGGGAATTTGATTTGTGCCATAAAACTGTATTGGCTGTCTTGAAATCTACTGGTAAAAGACCCTTCAAAATAAAGCCTGTGCATGAGTTGATGGAAGATTATCCCGATCGGAGGGTGGAGTTTTGTGAAACCATAATGAGACAAATCGATGATAATATTTTATCGGATTGGTTATTGTTTTCCGATGAATCAACTTTTACCTTAATTGGAGAGGTGAGTCTTTTTGATCAGGCACCTATCGAAAACTCGCAACAATATTGTTAAATCTGTACGCTTTAGGAACGTTAGTGATTAAAGATCTTTAACTTTTGTGTCTTCATTTTTAGGTAAATCGTCAAAATTGTAGGTACTAGGCAGAAACAAATCCACATTGGATAGTTGAGCAGCATAGTCAATATCAAGAAAAAATCAACGCATGGGCTGGAATAATTGGAGGTAGAATTATTGGACCCATATTCTTTGACCAAAATTTAACCGGCGACAGAAATTTGTAATTTTTACAAAATACGTTGGTACCTGAACTTATCCAAACGTTTCCGACAGAAGATGGAACCATTGATCAAAGAATTTTCTTCCAACAAGATGGGGCTCCACCCCATTACGCTCTCAATGTACGACAGTTCTTAAATGACTTTTTCCAGAACAGGTGGATTGAAAGAAGGGGATTTATTGAATGGCCAGCTAGATCTCCTGATCTTACTCCATTAGATTTTTATTTGTGGGGCTTCTTCAAATGTAAGGTATACGCCATAAGATCCAATAATATTGAAGAGCTAAAGGAGAGAATTAGAGAAGAAATTCGGCAAATTACAGCAGAAATATTAAGAAGGCTTCAAGCTGAATTTTACCACCGTTTTGCTCTTTGTCAAGAAGTAAATGGTGCTCATTTTGAACAGTTGCTAAAATAAAAAGAAATAAATCCACTTAGCGAGTAGAATATGTATTATTTTTTATTTAAATGTAGAACAAAACTTAATTTTCCATGAATTACCTTCCATTTTCATGTTTGTTTGATTAATTTGGGTATTCCTAACCATGTAGATGGTTGAATTTTGTGTAAATTTTTAAGATAAAACACACTGACTATAATTTTAGAGCCCAGTTTATGCACAACTAATTTTTGTTGAATTTCGTCCCTGATTCTTCTTTTTTCACGCTAGAAAATAGCATAACAGTTAAAATAAAAAAAAAAGTGGCACAATCAATTTTCTTTTGGAAAGACTTTTCCAACAAGGTGCCGCAAGTGGTACCATCCCATTTAAAAAAGTTAGGTCGGGGTGAGTTTCACCCTCTAAAGGGGATGAAAACAAAATTTTTTTTGGTATGACCGGAAAGCTTACAAAAATCTCAATTGACGTGTTTTTGCGTTTTATCCGCATCTTTCAACCTGAAGCTGTAGCGAATTTGCGACAGTTAAAGTCTCCACCCTGTATAAAAATGTCCTTTTCTTTCAAATGAAACAACCTGTATTTTTTTGCTCTACAAAATTTGCTTTTAGATATCATCGGGTTGTGCATATCTAAACTTACCGAATAAAGGGCTAATTGGAGATACTAATTAAAAATATTTATATCCGTATTAAAAAAACGTTTTTAAATAGTGTAAATCGTTAAAGATAGAACGGCAATTCAAAAATTAGAGTTGGACGATGCCATAATTTTTCAATCACACTTTGAATCGTTACTGTGATTAGTAAAATTCAAATAAATTAGGTAATGTTTCCACAAATCATTAACAAATTAAATATTCATAAATAAATAAATAAATTTTCATAAAGAACTTTAATAAATCGCTAGATAAACATATAAGAATGTCACTTTACCAAGATTAAAATCAGTAAATAGGTAACGATTTGTGAAATAAAATAAATAAATAATTTTAGGTTAACAGTTGTGGATACTCCTGGTTTTGGGGATGCAGTAAATTGCGAGGACAGCTGGAAAACTTGTATCAATTACATCGATGAGCAATTCAGGCAATATTTTACAGACGAAAGCGGTTTAAATCGAAGGAATATTCAAGACAATAGGGTCCATTGTTGTCTTTATTTTGTGCCACCTTGGGGTCACAGGTAAGAAACATATGTAAATTAAAATTAAATCTACAAGTAACTCAAATTCTAATCCATAATGAAATAAAACATAAAATTATTATGGACCAGCTTCCAATTGCATAGATTAGTCACACCATTACATCATTTACTTGCTTGCTTGTTTGGGGTTCTATGACTGCGGATTTTACATCCATTCGCCATTTACGTGATGATGTTATCTTTGTTGGGAATTTTATAATTTTTAATATTATCAATACATGAATTATTCTGTTTAGATTAGTTTGAATTTTTTTAATACTCAATCTGGATATTCCTACCACATATGGTTTTTAAAGTAATTTAACTTCTTTATGTATACATAAGTAACTCATTTTTAAAACTATTTTCATTCTTTCAAGATGTGTATTTGTATTGTAGTAGGCATGGGCGTCGTTTAGGGGGGACAAGGGGGGGCAGTTGCCCCCCCTGGTTTTTCGACTTTAGAACGCGTAATGGCTGTATGTCACAATACTAAATTAAGTACTAAAATTTAGCCCTAAATTAAGTTATTAATTTAGTACTAAATTTGGAACTAAAAATATGTTTTTCCTTTTTCAACGATACCAATTTTTAGTACTAAATTAAGTATAGGCGCACGCACATTGACGTATTATTACATGAAATTAGTACAGAAATGAAATATTCTGTGTAAAAGAGACAAGTGAATTTAAACTACCAAATACAGCAATGCTACTAAAAACCACGAAAAAACAATAAAACCTACAAAATCAAACACAAGCGAAATTTATCTAAGCGATAATGCAAAGTTGTCGTTAATCAAAAACAAAATGGTACAGAAAAGACCGTTATGTCAGCTTTTTCTTAGAAAAACTTCTGCGCAACATTTCAACGCATTTTTAGTACTAAATTTAGTAGAAAATAGAACAAGTTCAAATTATTTAATTAATTTTTTTGTACATAATAATAAACACAATATGATAGGTAGCCTTTAAATTGATTGAATTGTTTAAGGAAATAGAAGAAATAGGTAAACATGACAGGTGTAGATGCAACGAATTACGGACAACAATCTCATAAAAATAATATTCAAGCTGATACAGTTGACGAATATTATAGGTGGTTGAATATAGTTATTCCATATCCACATCTTACACGCACCTATCCATTTTACTTTTTTTTTAAAGTTGGTAAACACAAAACAAAAAGCAACCGCAGTTGCTGTGTTGTAAATTGTAAAAATACTAGCAGAAAAAACAGTGTAAATTATATAAATTTTTAGTAGCAAAATGAAAATTAAATCAAAGAAATAAATGGATATCTTGTGATTTATTGATAGGAAACCAATTATTAATTTCTATGGGTTCTTTCGAACTAAAAATGAAGAAAATATAAATTACAATCGCAAATATACCAATTATTTTTGTTTTGATACTACGTTGTTATACCGGGTGTTCAAATAAAAGCGTTACAGCTATATACCGCCTTTTATAAAAAAAACGTTTCAGACGAAAGTTTTAAAGTTTTGTGGGGAAAAATTTTTGGCCTAAATCGTTTTTTATAGCTAACCATAATATGGCCAACTAAAAGTCCAATAAAAAAAATATTTCCCTCAAAGGTTTCTTATTTTTTTATGAACTTTAAGAATATGTAAAAAACTGGGGTTCAAATTTGAAAAAAAAAATTCCACCTCGATATGGCCATATTATGGTCAGGTATAAAAAAATTAATTTAGCCAATATGTTTCTTCCAAAAAACTATAAAACTTTTGTCTGAAACTTTTTTCTAAAATGCATATTTTCGGCGGTATTTAACTGTAACACTTTAATTTGAACACCCGGTATATGGTAATGTTTTTATTTTCACCTTATTTAACCTATTCTTTAATGACAACTTATTAGGTTTAGGCAACATATCATATATTTTCTCGTAAATATTGTTGCCTGTCTGTTTTATTATTAATTTTTATTGATTATACTTGTTTTTTTAGCTGAAGTAATAAAAATATATAATAATAATAAATTTTTTCACTTGTTCTACAAATCCATATAATCTATATTTTTTAAATACAAATTCTATTAAAAATTGTATTGTCAGTATACGCAAATATCGTCCGTTAGTTCATAAATTAGTTAGCGATGCTGTCACTCACAGCGAATAATGAATGAAAATAGGCTTACTGGGCTTTACATGATGAGCGTACATCGAAAAATAATCGCAAAAAACTAAACAGAAATTATGTTTTCTGTTATCGATTATTTTTGGTAGAGGAAGAAGAAATTTAAAGCTGCATTTTCCTAGTGTTCGTTGACGTGTTTGAGTGAGTTTTTTTATGTTTCTGTGTTTCTATAAATATTTAATTTTTTTTATTATTATGTATGGCTCTGTCTTCATATTTTTCTTTTATACCACACCTTCTATTTGTTTTTTAAAAATGTGTTTTATTTTCTTGTTTTTTTTTATTTTAGTTTTTGTCTTTTTTGTTGAGTTATTTTTTTTGTCTTTTTTGTTGGGTTATTTTATTTATTAGAAACTTTTGTTAATTTGTATTGTTCCTTTATTTTTCATTTTCTTTGTTTTTCAACAAATAACCATTCTAAATTTTTTCAAAATTTTGCCCCTCCCTATAGAATTGTGTAACGACGCCCATGGTAGTAGGCCTGATGTTAGCTAGGATGGCCCAAACTAGTCGCATTAAATGTTGTGTTTTTAATTTCATTATTTGGAGTAATTTGAGCACATTCGAGAAAATTGATAATCTTTCGTTATTTAAATTCTAATATTTAAAATCTTGGAACAGTTACATCAAGAGAATGTCCAACAAGGAGGAACAAATAAAAACATAAATTGTTTGTTTAATGTATAAAGTTAAAACGTCAATATTTTTTATTATACATAATTTTGCTTATGTAACTATCAAATTATGCCTTGAAATTTAAATAGAAAATGTCACGTTTTGTATATTTCGTGATATTATAATCTATAGTTGAATCCGGAAATGATAGGCAGTAATGGTAAGTGTGAAGAACGCTGCCATCTGTCATTGCACCAAAGTTCGAAGATGTTTTCGGAGGATACGATACGCATATTTACCCACCAGGCTTCGTCCCGTTGAGCGTGGCGCACCCTATACAGTGAGCATCATAAGTCTTACCCCCCTAACTAACTTGTTACTGGAGTCTTGTTAGGAAAATCGCCGAGACAGGTCGATTTTTGTTTTCTACAATGTACATTTTTGTATGATTAGTTTACCCTTTATTTCATCCCTTACTGGAGGGGAACAACCCTTTCGAAAAATTTAAATGGCATGGGGTGGTGACTGATAGCTCATTTGAAAGGGGGTTTTATTCTCTATTCAACCGTGCAAAAAATTTTTAAATTTGCTTCATTACGTGTTGATTTATTAATGTTTAAAAATAACAAAACCTCACAAAATAGGAAAGCAACTAAACTAATAGTGACCTTCTAATGGCAAAAAGTCTTACTTCACGTCTGAATCAAAACCGAAATCATGCAGGGCCGAATTTTAATTCTAAGGATGAGTGCGCTACGTTAATTTCCGTTATTCTGAAACAACAATTAGTCGAGAATTAATGAAGCAAATTTCAAAATTTGTTACATGGTTGAATAGAGAATAAAACCCTCTTTCAAATGAGCTATCACTAACCACCCCATGCCATTTAAATTTTTCGAAAGGGTTGCTCCCCTCCAGTAAGGGATGAAATTAAGGGTAAACCATTCATACAAAAATGTACATTGTAGAAATCAAAAATCGACGTGTCTCGGCGATTTTCCTAACAAGACTCCAGTAACGAGTTAGATAGGGGGGTAAGACTTATGGTGCTCACTGTATATTATTTCTGTATTCAACTATATTGAATACAACTCATGAAATCACGAATATAGATCATCCTTAATCGCATGTTGAGCGGAAAAAGTGTTAATTTTTAATAAAAATCGTAAACCACGTCAGTTTTTGGCTTTTAAACAAAAAATTTACCTCTTACTCCCAGTGGCGTAGGTATGGGGGGGGGGGGTTATGGGGCAGAACCCTCCCAAGGAGGGCCTTCGCGTCACTGTTTCCGCCATCGTATTTGCGCTGATCGCTATTAACTGTTTGTTTTTATTCACTTTTCTTTATCGTTTTATAAAAAAAATATTTATTTATTTATTTTTATTTACTTTTTTTAATAAAAAATCTTATCTAAAATATTAAACTTTTTTGATGAAACCTCTTCAGAAACCCCCCCAGGTTTACATCTTTGCTATGCCATTGCTTGCATAAACCCCCTTTTAAGAGCTTTTAATTGTCTCTTTATCAATTAATTTGTTATTTGTCATTAAATGTTGAAATTCAAACAATTTAAAGGGCTAGATGACGTGTAGAAATAAAATTATGTGGTTTAAGTATATGAGCAAACAACTTATTATATTCCAGATAAATATTAAAAAATTGTACCTGGTCTACTAGATATTGGTTATAAAGTCATTTGTATAATATCTAACAAGGAAATAGTTTTTAATAATAACTAAAATCCGGAAGCAAATTCTGAAAATGTAATCTACTAAATGTATGTTGTATACACCATATCAGAATAACAAAGGAAATCATTCAAAAATATACAACCAGGTAAAGCAAACTATATTTTCTTGATATATAAATTGCTAAAAATAGTGATGTGATAATACATAAAGTTAAAGGAAATTAATATACAGGATGTTTCAGTAAAAAGCGTTAAACTTGAATTTTATAATCTACATTTAAGATTTTCATTGATTTCCAAAAAAATATCTAAAATTACTACACATTTATAGTTAGATATGTACTTTTTCTTTTTCCTTAATAATAAGATCAATAATGCAGGAGCACCTCAAGGCTCATTATTAATCAATGAAGTTACTGCCAATAATAAAAAGGAAAAATTAAAACATTTTACATTATTGTACAGTCACAATAATTTGAAAACTGTCTGTTAAAAATGTTTTAATTTCTTGATACTTTTACAAAAACACAATCATTAGCTACTAAAAATAAATTGGACGTGAGATAACTATAAAAAAAATCTGGACGTGCATTTTCTAATAAACGATAAGAATGAAATAAACAGTTTTCGGCATCCAATAACTAAAACCAGATGGATTTTAAATTTTAACTGCCGCACTTTTACTGTTTAATAATCGTTATCATTATTAGTTTTTATTTATATTTTTTTTACAATGGGTTTGAATCATTTTATACTCGGTATTGAATAATAGGCTAATTTGGATTTATGGGTAACTAATTATGTAAGATAGAACTGCGAATTAATTTCAAATTGATTGTTTATATTTTTTTATTTTAGTTTGAGACAAATGGATCTGGAACTGATGAAGAGACTGCATCACAAAGTTAATATAGTTGTAGTAATTGCCAAAGCAGACACCCTTACCCAAGCTGAAGTTGCCAAATTAAAAGTAAACATACTCAACGATATTCGCAACAACGATATTCAGGTATGTTAGCAGGTAAACAAATGTTGTGTGATTACTCATTGTAATATAATGTAAAGAACATTGGTAGTCAAGAGAGGGGAATGCGGGAAGTGATGGCGGTAGTAGCGAACCGTCGACTGTACTCTCCCAGGCAGAACGAAATGATGGGTCGCCTTGAGTGTTATAGTGAGGTCAGGCTGTTAGTTGATGCTCACGCATTGTTCTATTTGACTTAATTATTGAAAATTGTTATTATCAAAGGTGGGATTCGCTCACTTAAAGTATCACGGAAGTGCCTGGGGGTTGACTGTTCCTGTGAGTATTTCCAAGACTATTGATTCGTTACATTTATCAGTTGATTGATTGTTTGAGATTGTTATTGGCCATATCCTTTTTTTTGTGTTCATTCGTTAAATTTGTCAGTCGGCTAATAATTGTTTGAAATTGTTATTGGCGATATTGGTGGTATTCATTTGAAACACCGTCATCTTGTAATTCCTGTAGGGGTAAATAATTGTATGTAGCCGATAGAAATGGTATTTTCATGTTTTGAAAAAAAAATGCAGCTATTGTTTTAAGAAGAAACTTACCAACCATCTAGCTCTCGAATAAATTATATTATTTATTGATTTTGTTAGTTTTTTTTTGGAATAAATGCATAATTCAACTACCTGATAGATACCGGAGAGAAATGGAGAATGGTAAAAACATCCAATTGTAATTTAGAGCACTGATAACGTTAAAAGGTGCACGCAACATAACTTTTAAAAATAGTAAAATACCATTTAGAATTGAATGCAATGGTATAGGTTCCAATATTTGTTTTTTATGATGTGGATAATTTAGCAGTGATCTACTACGTTATTTTTGAGAGATAATGTATGTTAATTAATTTTAAATGAAATAAATCGGAGTTTAATATAGAATCGAATTTAATCGGTGTTAAGAATAATAATACATAACATGAAACGTATTGAATGAATGTCTATGTAAGAACGCTGTGCTCCTGTGCTTATCACCAAAATTCTTATGCGTGCCAGTCCGACGTATCGTTCTACGAAATATGAGTAGCACTCGTGAGTCATGACAGGGTGGTCCTAGCCTAGCGATAAGTGAAACATCTGAGTGGTTACAAGTGTCTTTATTTGTAGCCTTTTAATTTTGGTAGAAATTCGATGAAAAAAAATGTTTTCTTCATTAAAAGGAATGTATATTGTCTCTATCAATGACCAGCTGAGAAAAGCTTAGAAAAACAAAACGCAGAGAAACTTAAACATTTATTGTTAAATTTGTTTAAGTTTGGAAATAATTATTCAACAATACATACCACTGAGTTAAAAAACAAAGCTATCTAGTGACCAAGTCATTAAATTATAGCAGGGGCGCTACTGGGAAAATTTGTTAGGATGGACGAGTGCTCTTTCCAAATTACGATTAACTGTTATTTCTACCATTCGGAAAGTTAAGTACAGGTCAGGTTAATGTTGTTTTCATGTTATCAAACAGTCAAGTACATGTCAGGTTAATGTTGTTTTCATGTTACCAAAAAGTCAAGTACATGTCAGGTTAATCCCTGAGGAGTACCTCTGAACTTAACGATGTATTCATGTCACCAGAAAATCAAATACAGGTCAGGTTAATCCCTGAGGAGTACCTCTGAACTTCTCTACTGTTTTTATTTAGTAACAAAGTTAAGTAAGTTAAGTACAGGTCAATTAAATATCTGAGGAGTACCTCTGAACTTCCATTTAAAGCTTTTGCCTTTGTGAGTAAAAAAAAGTTAAGTAGAGGTTATTAAATATTTAAGGGTACCTCTGAACTTTAACTTAAAGTTTTTTTTTGTGATTCAAGAAATTAAGTATAGGTCAGCCAAATATCTGAAGAGTACCTCTGAACTTATTGCTTTTATTTTGTCTGCTTAGCACAAATTTATTGAAATATTTTGAAGTAGTAAATATAGTATAATTATTAGCATCGTGCAAGCTTTGTTTTATAAATGTGGTCTGGTAAATGGTATGAGGAATCCGAGGATTCACAATCACAGAAAAAATCGGTAAGTTGTACTGTCCTGGATGGGCGGTGTTAGCAAGTAATTCTTTTGTTTTTGGTTTTTCCTCTATGTTTTGTTACTTAAATGATATATTAACTGTCCGAGACCTACTAGATGACTGGCTTTTTAACCACGCGATGGCAGGTGGTAAGCATTTCGTGACTAGTAGAGTGAAAAATGCTGGACAGATATTGTTGAAATCCGAGGAGAATAGCTTTTATTTTAGATGATTTAAAATTGAAAAATGCTGGATGGATATTGTTGAAATCAGAGGAGCATAGCTTTTGTTTTAAATGATTTAAAATTGAAAAATGCTGAACGGATATTGTTGAAATCCGAGGAGCATAGCTTTTGTTTTAAATGATTTAAAATTGAAAAATGTTGGATATTGTTGAAATCCGAGGAGCATAGTGTTTATTTTAAATGGTAGTAGCGAACCGTCGACTGTACTCTCCCAGGCAGAACGAAATGATGGGTCGCCTTGAGTACTATAGTGAGGTCAGGCTGTTAGTTGATGCTCACGCATTGTTTTATTTAACTTAATTATTGAAAATTGTTATTAGGTAGGTACTTTTTACAAAAATGTAGGGTGAGGCGCCGAAAACCAAACATATTGAATATTTTAAAGATGAATTATTTTTTTGGGAATAGTGCTATTCCATGGAAAGTACTAAGTGTGCATGCGTTGTGCGAAATACTGATATGCGCCTTTATGTGCATTGCACAAAAATAACATCTTCAATTGTTCGCGTTCAAAACCAGATATATCCACTTTTTCCACAAAATCATGTTTTGACGGTTTCCCAATGATCTTTGTGATTCCCATGCTCATTTTGGATCAAATCGCAATATGAACCATTTAAATGAGTAGCTAAAACCAGTTATATCCCAATTTTGCGATCAAAAGCAGATATATCCACAAAAGCACGTTTAAACGAATATTGTCGGTGTTTTAGTTTATTGGCGGGAGTCGCAGTAATAACAGCTATTGTATAAGAATTTGCGAAGAAAACAAGCTAAAAAAGTGTGAACAATCATGGAAGTAGAAGACATTAGTGTGAGTGAAGGAAGTGATGGAAGTAGGAAAAGAAGAAAGCAGGAAACACAGCGAAATCGTCGTAAGAGACAAAAGTGAGGTTAAATTTTCTAATTTTTACATATTGTAGATATTCAGATCTTGATCCTAGGCTAGAAAATTTTAGTAGACCTTGTAATCATAATGGAAAAACCTGTGAATGTTTTAAGGTGGGCACGCAAGACATATTAATTCTAAGAAATCAGTTTTATAATCATTCAAGTATAGTTCTTCAAGATGCACTTATATGCCTTTACGTGTGTTATGACGGCTAAATGACACAGGGAAAGTAAAGAAATTCGGACAAGAAAAGCAACAGTTTGCTACATGTCAAAGTCTGGCAAAAATGGGGTTCGAGTTTGTAAAGGATTTTTTGCTGCTGTTTTTGGTATACCATACAATCGCCTCACAACAGTTGCAAAGGTTTTAAAGGCGGGTAGCATTCCTAATGAAAAAAGAGGAGGGGATAGAAAGTTCCAGAAAAGCCCAACTAAAAAGGAAAAAGTACGAGAGTTCATCGGTAAATTGCGTGGCAAAGAAAGTCAATACAATAGAAAAAAATCTAAACGTATATACCTTTCAGCAAATCTTTCAGTGAAAAATTGCATAGAATGTATATCGAAAAATGTGCGCCCAATGACCGGGTCTCTTACGATATGTTTAGAAATGTGCTGCCTTTGATGTATGCTCCAAGTGTACGAGGTTGAAAGAGCAGTTAAAACAAAGCAATGACACAGAAAAGAAAAACAATATTATACTGGAATACCGCATGCACAAAAAAATTGCCAATACTTTGTATGAACTTTGCCGTGAAAATCCAGACAACCTATTGGAGACAACCGTACACCTATTGGAGATGCCTTCTATGCTCACCAAATTAACCTGTATTCCTTTTGCTGCGTGCCCATGACTTCAACAGATCCAACATTTTATATTTGGACGGAAGACTTAGCTGGAAGAGGAGCTTCTCAAATTGGCTCAGCATTGTTGCATCATCTTGGAACTTTAAATTGTGAAAATATAAACCTTATCAGATTATTCTGCGATGGATATGGAGGTCAAAATAAAAATTCGCATATTATTCACTCTTTAATTTACTGGCTAAAATACAAGTACCCAGAAAATGTACAAGAAATAATCATAACATATCCAGTTCGAGGACATAGTTTTCTTCCTGCGGATCTAGTTTTTGGACGGGTGGAAAAAATTTTAAGAGCAAATCCCGTCATAATATCTAAAGAAAAATACAATGAAATTTACTCAGAAGTAGGTTCGGTAAAAACTCTTGGTACTGATTGGCAGATTTTCAATGTAAAAGAACTAGAAAAAGTTTTTAAAAAATAAAAAGAATTTAGGATTGTAAAAAATATACATATTAAAAAGTTTATGATAACAAGAAACAAATTACTATTAAAGTGATGACGCACCAATATTACAGGTATGTTTCGCCAGCCATTACCTGGGAATCCCTTCTTATAAAAGGGAAATCTGAAAATGAGATAGACCTAAGCAGACAACCATTGGGCAATTCGATACTGGATAAAAAGAAAAAAACCAATAAGGCATCTCATAAAAGAACATTTTGGCGAAGAATGGGAAATTAGGGAAGACCTCTTCTGGTACAAAAACTTGTTGGAAGGCACAGACGCAACCACCATAGAGGTGGTGAACGAAATGTGTGACTGTTTACATGAAGAATCCGCAATACACCTATAATAAAAAGATAAAATATTGTTATTTTTGGGAAAGAAATAGGTTTCTTTTTATTTTGAGAAAGTAAAAGTTATTTTTAGTGATTTTTAATTTTACTTGTAACTTTTTCAATAAAAAAGTAATATTTTTGAAATAAAATTGTTTCATTTGGGTTCAAAACCAGTTATATCCCTAATTTTTTGGCTAATTTCTCAAAATTCTTTTATTTTTTCTTAAAAAAAAATCAGTGGCCCTTTTTGTCAAACTAGTTCAAACAGAATTCCCTTCACAGAATCTTACTTTTTTCAAGTACAAAATATGAAGCGTTTTTTTCGTATCCTGAAAATTTTATAAAAATGGATATAACTGGTTTTTATTACATAATGAACGAAAAGTAACAAAACAAACAATAATGTTAAAAATTATAACCATTCCAAATTATTAATATTCAGATTGAACTTAGCAAAAAATATATCAGAAACTTTTCTAGCTTTGCTATTTGCTAATTCTGTTGATTTACCTGAAATAGGCGTATGGTGCATCAGTCTTTGAATCAATATCCCGTCTCTAATATGTCTAACTGGCAGTTTCTCTAAAGTCTTAAGTACGACTTATTAAGAAAGACTTATTGATCACTTCCACTTACTAATCTGGATATAAATATTATTATTTAAAATTGAGTATGAAGGTGTAAAGAAAAAGGTCTTTTAATTCTCACAAAGTCAATTTTTGCCTTTTTCTTTACACCTTCGTACGTTGACTTTGTAAAAAATAAAGGACCATTTTCTGAACACCTTCGTACTTAATCCCAACTACTCACCCCTAATTATTTGAAATTGAAATAATTATTTTAAATAATGCACTTACAAAATGTTTTATTAGAAACCATACTATTAAAACAAATTAGGGATTCCACTGGAAAAGTGGCAAAGTGGACATTAAAAAGGATTCTACTTATCAAAAATATTAAGAAATGCTTGGTATATAGGGGTATAGGGGGTTCTAGCCCTCATACATCCAAATAAAGAAAACTCATAATTTTTTTTATAAATTGTAGATGTATCAATTCCCAGAATGTGATAGTGACGAAGACGACGAGTTCAAAGAACAGGACAGAGAACTTAAAGCAAGCATTCCATTTGCCGTGGTTGGTAGCAATACTATTCTCGAAATAGCTGGTAAAAAAATTAGAGGTCGGCAATATCCGTGGGGAGTTGTTGACGGTAAGTGGTAATTCAGTATTCAAGAATATTATGTTCTTCTTCTTTTTATTCTTTTTCTTTAGTTTGTGACTCACTGGGGTGGAGCTTTTTGTCACTTGTACCACACGTAACGTTGAGCAGACCGCGAAAAATAAACCAAAAAGAACAAGTAGTTTTTAATCATCTCTCTTCTTAAGATTATATTTAATCGGAATAAAATTAAAACCAATACCACAAAATATTTAAATATTTTAAATTTTTTATAGGTACCATGTTGCCCATGAGCTAACTATTTTAATTCATAACCCTGCGGGAGTTTTTATAATTATCAATAATTGTGTTTTCACTCTGGGGGTACAAAACCGATTTTCAATATTAAATTGGTTTCGGATCAATAATCTATATAGTTGTAGGAACTAGAAAACTTTTTTTTTTGTACTTTAATTCATCCCTTTTTTGAAAGTTATTCAAATTTGTAATACCATAATTTGGTTTTTTTACTACCTTTGTTTAGTACTTTTTATTAATTGCTACCCATTTGATGCATTTTTCACTTTTTTTCATTTATGTTATTTGTATCTGTAACGTGTCGAAGGTGGGTTAACCCACGGCACTTAGGTCTTACTATGCCCATTGTGCTTCCCCCTAAGTAGATAAGCAGCTCCTAGCTCATGAGCTAGCCTACATATTTAATGTAGTTGACAACATCGCCAAGAAGTTTAGCCAATTCTCGCAGAACACAAATCTTCTAATAAATTAGAGCGTCCGAAAATCGTAGAAGATATGGTAGATGATCCCATCTTCTTGTTCGCACCCCTGCAGATTGCGGTGTCTGACATCTCCATAATATGGAGATGCTTCCGTACTTGGCAATGATCAGTCAGAATGCCTGTGATCAGGCGCAGATTCTGTCTAGATATAGTCAAGTATGTGTTTGCTGTAGTGTTGTCAGGATAACTTAGAAGCTCCCTGACAAATCTGCAGTTTCTTGTTTCATACCATCTTTCATTGAATTACACAAGGGAATGTTCTTTAATTAAGTTTGTCATATGAGAGCCAGGTCCAAAAAGTATTTGGTTGGCTGCCTCCTTAGCTAGTGAATTAGCCAGACGGTTACCTTTCGATGTGGGGCGATTTTTGATCCATCTTAGGTTAACTACATTGTTGATCGATACTTCGGCCAAAGCTTCATGGTATTCTAGTACTACCCCTGAGGAAATTCGTGGTCTATCCTGCATGAGTAGGCTTGTATGCTATCTGTTAAGATGAGCATGTTCTCTTCAGTGATATTATTTCTGGTGAGTTCTTTTGCTGCTATGAGAATCCCCGTGAGCTCATTTTGAACTACTTTGGCACTATTGTTCACAGCCTATTTATTTTTTAGCTCTAAGGATCTGGAAATGAGCCTTATTTTGTTTTAGAACCGTCGATGTAGATATGAATCGTACCTGCTACTTCCGGCTCTTTTATTTATTCTGTTATATGGCCCAAGTAAGATATATCTCGGTGAGATTGAGTTCATGTTCGCCTGAAGCAGTGGGAGCGTATCAAATAACTCCTGCCTCCTATCAGAGTCAGAGCAACCTCATTGATGTAAATATCATGTGGAGTGAGACTGAGAAGTACTTCTGTGACTCTGGTCAGTGTGGTTTTCATGGCTCCTGTAATGTCGAGACATGCTGTTCTTTGAATTTGTTCTAGTTTGCGGATAGCTGTCAATTTTTGGGTTTTTGGTACCCAAGCAACTGCACCGTATGTTAGTATAGTTATTCTATATATCTTTATCGTTTGTTAACCAAATGATCCAAAAAAATATTTGTATTTAGGACCTGATGATAGCTGTATATGCCGAAACTAATTTTATTCTGATTTAATGACCGAACACATTTAAGAAGATATAATCTTTAATTTTACATTTTGTTTGTTATTTTTAATCTTATTTCCGGTTTAATAGACAATTTACTACTTTTTTCAATGAAGGATACCGTCAAGTTGGGTGACTTGAGACAGTTTCAAAATTCAAAGGACTGTAAAATTGTATTCCAGCAAATTAAAATTATGAAACAAGGACACATTTTTGAGTCTACATACATTCTTCAAAATTCAATAATAAAAATGACCTAAAATTTATCAGAAAATATTTTTTTTTGTTTTTTTGGGTGTCTCAAGTCAGCTTCACAGGGGCGGTGACTTGAGACAGTAATTTGTTTTCATTATAAACTCAAGACGGACCGTCAATTTGCGGACTTGAGACATTAATAGTCTTTAAAAACGTAATAGAACATATTATTTCATAAACACAACTCTTATTTGGAAAAATATAATTATTTTAAACATTTTACATTTTTAATACAAAACTAAAGTTTTAATTCTTAAAAAATAAGTAGGAACTTGAAAAACTTTGGTAGAAACTAATCTAAATAAAACATAACTCTTAAAAAACAAATAAAAAACTCATTTTAACGAAAAAAAAAATGTTTTAAACAATTGTGCCAGGTTTTTAAAGTTCAATAGAAAAAGTAAATCTTCCTCGTCGAACAAACACAGGAACCAGCTTTGACAGAATTTGATTTTTATTAATATCTGTGACGTCATCAATATCTGGAAATACGTAAATATTTTTTCCTTGTGGTGATTTGCGCATAAATTTACACAAAACTAAATCCGGCTTTAGTTCAATAATTTGTCCAATGAATTTCTTCAAAATAGCTGGCTTATGGGGAGCCTCATATGAAAATTGCACCAAAATAAAGTCATCAACTTTTATATCCGAAGGATCAACCATATCCACGTCTTCTTCAAAATCTTCAGGGCTATCATATGACGATTGCGTGGAAAAGGAATCATTACTGTCACTGGAGGAATCTACGCTTTTTTTATTTTTTCGAGAAATAATAGGTTTTGCTTTTGATGTTGACGGTGTCGGGTTATTAAATTGAGTAAAATCAGGTAGCTCTTCTTCAATTTCTTCCTGGTTTCCATGGACTCAATTTTCATTTACCGTCTGTTCTACTTCTTCTAGAGTAGTATTTTCAACACTCTCTAGAGTAGTATTTTCAACACTCTTTCCAGGCTCGATTAGAATTTTTTTTCTTTTCCTCGTACCGGTTACTGTTTCCTTCGTATATAGATTGCTTAAAAAGACTTGAAAAGCATTATCTATTGACACTACAAAATTGTTTTCATCATTTGGCTGTTCTAAGCTCGGTGGCAACTTATCTAGTACTTTGTTTCTGTTGATTGGATAAATTCCACTTCCACGGAATCCAGCTATGAGATTTGCTGATGTCTTGTTGTCTACATCAAGTTGATCCAAACAATTTTTTAGCAGTCTGGGAAAAGTATCTTTCGGTACTACCCCCCGATGCTTCAATTTCCAATTTAAAAGAACATCTCTCCATGCGCTTTTGAGTGGTCTGAAATATGCTACGTCTAAGGGTTGGCAGATGTGGGTACTGTTTGGAGGTAGCAGGATAAATCGAATATTATATTTTCTGCATAAGTCAATTACGGATTGTGAAATATGGCTGGCAAGATTGTCGCCTATTACAGCTTTTGGCGACTCAATGGGGAGTTTTTTAAAATACGGTAACGCCGTAGATTTAAACCAATCCTCGAAAATCGCTTCATTAAACCAGGAGCTCTTTGACCTATTGTATCTAGCACCAGCAGGGCCATTTTCTGTCCAAGTTTTATACAAATTTTCGGCCTTATAAACTATGTAAGGTGGCAAAAGTTCACCCGATGCGGATCCTGCAAACATGATGGAATGGCTGCTTCTAGAGTTGTCCATTATACGATGTGCGTGTTTTGCACCTCTTCTGACAAGTACCTTGGTTTTTCCAGGATCGTCAGTTATATTTGTCTCATCATAATTGACCATTGCATTTGGTTCAACCCCTTGCAAACTTACTTCCAGCTCGTCAAAATATTTATTTATTACCTCCCTGTTAACACTTGCCCGTGCCCGTTTTATATTTTCACACCAGCGTTGTGAGAGTATATCCTTATGCCTTTCAATGAACTTTCTCATAAATTCTCTTCCTGGCAAATTCTTTTTAAATTTTGATACCTGTCTACCAGAACTATCTAAATACGACTTAATCAAGTACCTTACATCAATAGATGTTAGTGGAAACCCCCAGACACTGGCTAACTGAATGTTATCCACCATCTTCTTTTCTTCCTCTGACGTGAAAACAGTTTGTCCACCTGCCTTTTTCATATGACGTCCTTTTGCTCTTCGATCTATCGTATCCTTTGAAATACCATATTTCCTTTGAAGTTTTCTCAATGAAACACCTCTATTTCTTTCAGCTACTGCAAGTTCTAAATCTTTTTCGTCATATCTTCTATAGTTGGCGCCTACTTTTTTTTTGTATCGACCCATTCTTGTAAATACCTGCAAAATGAACACGTATTATTTAATTAGGGTGACTTGAGACATGTCTCAAATTACCCCTGGGGTGACTTGATACACGTCTCAACTCGCCCCTATAAATCCCATTTTTTATTTTCTTATATAAATCAAAAAAACTGTTTATGTTAACAAAAATGTATATATCAATAATTACTTCCCATATACACTAACATCAATGTAAAATATGACCATTCCCATAAATTTGTCAGTTTGGACTACATACATAAAGTTTTTTAACATACCTATAAATCCCACAAACCCTATTCTTACAATAAAATACTAAAACCGCACTTACCTTCTTAATTAACCAGCAAAAACTATAAAAACAACTTGCATAGACTTGTCGTGAATGAATACCGCGTGGAAAATGAATTCCAGTACAATCTGCGGTGTTGCCAACCCTTCTCATAAATACCTAAAGTTTTGTCTCAAGTCACCAGGCAGTCTCAAGTCACCCAACTTGACGGTACCATTCTTTATTATTAGCATTATTAATAGGGTTGCCAGACATCACGCTTTAGGCGTGATTGCCACGCTTTTTGACTTGCCTGTACGCTTTTTATGCAAATTCCATGCTTTTTAAAAAGCCGCAGAGGAATCGGATTCATAAAAAAATAGAGAAATATCCGGATAAAAGACCCTCGTTTTTACGAAAAATTAGCTGAGGACCTTTTTTTTTAGAAATGTTCACAAAAAATAGAGCTGATTATTAAAATATGCTCTATCGTCACGGTTGCCACGGTTGCCACGCTTTTCACTTCCGGAAATGTGGCAACCCTAATTATTAAACATCGCATGGAAAACATATTAACACAAAAATACCCTTAATTTATATTAGCTAACACAGGCCGATATAAGAGAAGAAGAGAAGTACCTCTTAACGACGTTGTCAAATCTATAGGCTAGCTCATGAACTAGGAGGTGCCTATCAACCTAGGAAGATGCACAATGTGCCTAGTGAGGCCTAAGTGCCTTGGGGGGTAACCCACCCTTCACACGTTACAGATACAGACAGATCCTTAATTTCTTAATATTTTTTTGTTTTAGTTGAAAATCCAAAACACAGTGATTTCATCAAACTCAGAAGAATGCTCATCTCGACACACATGCAAGATATGAAGGATGTTACAGAAGACGTCCATTATGAGAATTTTAGGACACAGTGTATTTCTCAGATATCCCAACACGCGCGAGAACGAGGGTAAATTTATGCATTTATTTTTTAATTTATCAAAATATATATAAACTTTCAGTTTAATAAACGTACAGTGATAATTATAACGATTCGTTTCTCTTTCTTTCTCATATTCTTCTACGTTTTTAGACGTCTAATTTGAATCCATTCTTCTCCTGGATTAATTTCTTCTATTCTTTTCTGGTCCTTGCTAGTGTCTTCATCTCTATCAAAGTTGTCTCATTTTTTTTTAAACATTCTATAAGGGGCATTTATTAATATTACAATCTGATTAAAAGTTGATCGATGGGTAATTTTGTTCTAACCTAACTTAACTAAATTTGCAATCTTAAAAACTAAAGTTCTACTCGAGAGTATACCTTAGGGTCCGATAACTTAATTACACTAAACTAACGTTTACCACTAAACCTTACAAAACTTTACCTTGTTATTAACACAATCACTTGGTTAACTCAAAAGGTTTCATTCTCTTGTCAGGTTCGTGTTGTCAAGAGCTGGAGCGCCTCAATGGTCACATGATGATGGAGCTGTCATTCGTGACTCATGGCGAATCTTGTGATAGTCTGGTCAACAGTGGCCATCTGAAGGTCTCGATGAAGATTGCTGTTTTAAGGCCGGTTTTATGCACTCCATTTGTAAGCGTCCGTTCAAAAATGCACTTCTGTGTGAACCTGCGTCGGTCGTACGTTTTCACTACGTTCGCTAAGTTTGTTCGCTCTGAACGCAGGTATGACATTTCAAGCATTGCGTTTCCCAACGACAGCATGTGGGAATAGGATTGGTTCACACTTGCTTAAGAGGAGGGATCCGGTTATCATTTTCATTTTATTGTCCAAAAACCCTCAATACAAAAGATATTGGGCAGTTCATCCAATAAACAGCTTGCTATTTCAAAGAGGAGTTTTCACCTTGTTCAAGAAACTGCAAGAAGACAGCGACAAGTTTTAAAATAATTTTAGAATGTCTATTACATAATTTTATCTTTCAGTTGTTTAAAATCATCTGTCTCTTCCACAGGTATTGTCTGAAGAACATCTAAAACGTCTCCTCGAAGGGCGATGGTCAGATTTATTGCCTTTTCTCTCTCATACCATTCGTTTGCCCTCGCAGCTGTCTCGAACTGTTTAAGGTAATTGGTCCATGACATCTTTCCATCGACTGGGTTCTTGGTCGGTCTGACGATGCAGTACAAACGCACGTTTACATAAAACGACTCATTTGACTTAAAGTTTTAAATAACGAACGCAGGTATCTAGGTTCCTGGCGAACCTGTCCTATTTATTTTCCCCGCTATTTTTTTCAATTGTTTCATCTCCATTGCATTTATTTTTATTCCATATTTTATTCTGTTGTACCCAGTTTTCGCTAGCATAAGTTACTATTAGTAGGTACTGTAATAATTATTATATTGTGAGTTTTCATTTTTGTGTCTGTATCAATATCTCTATCTTGTTTTATTTTGGGAAAGGTAACCGTCTTGCTGATTCACTACCCAAGAAAGCTGCCAACCAAATACTTTTTGGATCTGGACCTTCTATTGGCCTGACAAAATCGGTAGTGACAGACCTAATTAAAGAACATTCCCTTGTGAAATTCAAGGAAAGATGTGATGAAGCTCTTAAGTTATTCTGACAACACTGCAGCAAACAAATACTTGACTATGATTAGACAGAATCTGTACCTGTTCACAGGCATTCTGACCGGTCATTCCAAGTACGGAAGCATCTCTATTCTGCAGGGGGTGCGAACAAGAAGATGAGACAATCGAGAATATTCACTACGATTGCTCGACGCTCTCATTTACTAGAAGATTTGTGTTCGGCGAGTATCGGCTAACACCGGCCGATATAAAAGAACCACCTCTTGGCGACGCTGTCAACTACATTAAAATGTAGGTTGGCTAACGAGCTAGGAGATGCCTATCTACTTAGGAGGATGCACAATGGGCCTAACCCACCCTCAACCCGTTTCAGATATAGAAGTTCCGCATCTATACTACCTTCCTCTGTTAATATAGTTCCTAAGTGCTCACAGGTTGTTTTACTCTTTCTGGAATTATGCCTTTACATTTTATCATCTCTGTTTACAATCATCACTTTGGTTTTATCTATGTTTATTTCCGTTGTCACGTTTTCTATTTTTCTTGTCCATAGGTGTATTAGTTTCTGCATTTTGTTTTAATTTTGCTATCAGTACCACGTCATCTGCATATAACAAATTACTTAATCGAACTGGATCCTGGTTTCTGTATTAGACATATTTAAATAACTTCTTGTTTTTTTATCGTCTTGACTATGTTGTCCATAACGATTTCTACAAACTGAGAAAAAAAGCAAAGGTGTTAAAAATCAAATATATATTTTTGTTTTCAGGAAACTTAAACGAGATTCTACTCCTTACGATCCAGATTTCTCTGAAACTGACAGGCTGTTAATTCAAAAGGACGAAGAGGTAAATTATACAAAAAACGCATTAATAATTTTTTTAACATGAAAAATCTTTAAAAAGAAATAGTTGGTTTTCTGACGATATATTCACTAAAAAATTTTACCCAAATCTGACTTTTACAATTTATATCCGCCAATTCACAAGAATATTCAACAATATTTTCTTTTCTGGTATAGGTTGAAATGTTATATTTGACTTTGAAGACAAAGACACAACGACAATCACTAATCAGTGAAAATATTATTTCATATATTATACCGTTAATACAAAAAGCAACATATGAAATGTTGCAAACATGACAAGTAGAAGAGATCTGGGGGTATCAGGACACTACTTCCAAAGTTGCAGCTAGTTGGCGTTGGCGCCACCTATTAGTGGTGGTTAATATTTTTACAGCTTACTAATTATACATACCTATAGTTTCATATTAATTAATTCTCTCTCACGCGAATTAATTCGGTCTCCCATTCTTCTTCGCCGAGTTTCAATTGACCACCACTGACAGGTGGCGCCAACGCCAACTAGCGGCGACTTTGGAAGTAGTGTCCTGATACCCCCAGATCTCTTCTACTATGACATACATAAGATCATAGCTACATAAAAAAATAGATGATTTTTAAAGGTTACATTCGGACAAAAAATAATAAAGTAAATCAACAAAAAACTGTCTGCCTTATCAATCGCGCCTAAGATCATGGAGGGAGGATAATGCTTAAGATCGATTAACTTTAACCTAGCCAACCCTATACCATCGTGTTTGTAACAAAATTATGTACATAATTCGCTAGAGCCTCAGTATAAAATATTTTGACAAAACGCAAAAACAGGTCGATTGAGGTTTTTTGTGGGCTTTCCAGTCATATTAAAAGAGTTTTTTTTTTTAATTGGATGAGACTACTTGTGGCCCATTGTAATAGTGGATTTTTTATAAAAAAAACTTTTATTAAAATAAAAAAGTAGACCATAAAATGTGTCTGAAATTGTAATTGATGGCATTAATCTTAAAATGTATGCAACCTTTAACCTACCTAAAGTTGAAATTATAATTTTTGTATGAGGTCGGTCACCTATACATTTAGTAAAGAAAAACGGAATATTCACTATCAAATTAAAATGAGAAAAAATGGCGCTGTTAGTTTTCTTTTTAAAAGGGCTTTCCAACAAGTTGCCGCAAGTATCATCCCATACAAAAAAAATAAGTGGGATTAGGTTTCACCCCTTAGAAGGGTTAAAAAAATTAATATGACTGGAAAGCTCACAAAAATCGACCTGTTTTTGCGTTTTATCCAAATACTTTACCTGAGGCTCACCCTGTATAATTTTATTAAGAAAAATGATAAGAATACATTACTTATATCAGTTTACCTGTTTGTACCTGCCAACCCAGTATTACGGACAGGTAAAAAGGTAGCCAACCCTACTTCAATTTATTTACATCTTTTACTATTGTTTGGTGTTAAATTTTTCGAGATAAAACATTTTAGGGGTATATGTATTACAACAAAAATTACCTCAACAAATTTCCCCCTTAATATGTATATTTTCATAGTGTCATCAATTAAAGAAATATTAAACGATGTTCGTCTTCAACTTGCCACTGTTGTCCTCTCACTAGAGATAAGGACATAAAGATAGGAAACGCTCATAAGAAGCACATGATAACAACAACCAGATCGAACGCAGTTAACATCTGACCCGCTGTGTGGCGCGGAGCGGGAAATTTAAAAACCTGATAATAAAGTTTGTATAAAATATCGATTTCCCTTTTATATTCTGGTAAATAAATGTAAACAATGTTAATTAAGGTAAATTATTTATTTAAAAAAATACTACAATATAGTTTATTATCGATTAATTATTGTAAATCTATTCATGACAAATATTTTGTAATTGTTGATCGTTAGTCGTAACTTTAACATTTTTATTTTCTAATTAGGTGATCCAACGGTGTCTCGTTTTTAAAAATGGTATTAAAAATAAATCGTTTGCTTTTTTAGAACATAAATAAAGAGATGGAATGGCACTACTAACGTTAATAATATGGCACCTCGACAGGCACTGCACCTATTTTCAGAACTATTCTTGGATAAGTTTTATGACAGTGATCAGATGCGATATGTTGACTACAAACTCTGTATAAATTTATTCATGCGAAATGTGTTACCAACGCAATATGTATCGCGACTAATTAATTTAATATTACAAAATATAATTATTTTCCTCAAATTCCACCCAAAAACAACCACAATCACTTCGCTTGGTTCACCTTACAATATAAACCTTTCATAAAATCAAAATTTAAAATATAAATACTAATGACATTAATTTTTGCAAACTGCTGTCTGTCTACAAACGACGTGTACCTTTAGTTAGGTAACATATGGGACGCTTAGATGACGCTATCGTTGCTGCGGTTGTTGCGTTTCCTATCTTTATATCCTTTATCCCTGACCATGGTGAATCTTGTCTGCAAACGGTATATTTTAATTGCACTGTTTAGTTTGCCTAGTTTTATCAATAGGTATTTTCAATTTATTTTCAATCGGGCACAATTTTAAAAATTGCTTAAATTTAACTTATGTACAATTTATTTGAACATATATAGATAAGTGTACATTCAACTGAACGATAGTCCTGTTATCACTCGTTTAATTTAATAGATTATATCACGAATTGATAAAACTAACAGGTTACAGTACAAAAACGATGGCAAAACATTTTAGATCTTTTGGCTCTGTCCCGAAATAGTGCTGAATGTAATAGCACTATTGTTTGAGCGCCTGATCAAATTAACGCGTTAAACGAAGAAATAGTGCCCGATCGAAATAGCGCTGAACGAAATAGCGCCGTATCAAAATAGCACATAACAAATGAGCGTTTGAACAAAATAGCGCGAATCAGAAGAACGTCAGTTAAAACAGCGCCCGAACAAAATGGCGCCTTAATAAAATAGTGCCTTTCGAAATAGTGAGCATTGAAACGGCCTCCATCCGAAATGGCGTTCTCACGAAATACCGCCTAACGAAATAACGCGTTTCAAAATAGCATTATTGTTTAAACTAATTAAAACAAAACTTAACCAAATGACCTAACCTGTGCGGTCTGGAGCCATTTAAAATTAAACGATCGCTCACGCATAGATTAAGTATCTGTATCTGTAACGTGTGGAGGGTGGGTTGACCAACAGCACTTAGGGCGCACTAGGCGCATTTTGCATCCTCCTAAGTAGATAGGCACCTTCTAGCTCGTGAGTTTACAACGTTGCCAAGAGGTGGTTCTCTTAGATCGGCCGATGTTAGTCAATTTCCGCCGAACACAAATCTCCTAATAAATGAGAGGGTCGGCCAATCGTAGAAGATATGCTCGATGGTATCATTGTCTTGTTCGCATCCCCTGCAGAGGGTGGATTTTGACAGCCTCATAAAATGGAGATGCTTCCGTACTTGGCAATGTCCAGTCAGAATGCCTGTGATCGGGCGCAGATACTGTCTAATCATAGTCAAGCTGTAGTGTTGTCAGGATAACTTAAAAGCTCCCTGGCAAGTCTGCGGTTTGTTGTTTCATCCCGTCTTTCTTTGAATTTCACAAAGGAACGTTCTTTAATCACTACCGATGTTGTCAGTCCAATAGATGGGCCAGGTCCAAAAAGTATTTGGTTGGCTGCCTTCTTGGCAAGTGAATCAACAAGACGGTTTCCTTTCGATGTGGCGTGACCTTTAATCCATCTTAAGTTGACCACATTGTTGATGGATACTTCGTCCAAAGCTTCGTGATATTCAAGTACCAACCCTGAAAAAATTCGTGGTCTGTCCAGGGTGAGTAGTGCTTATCTGCTGTCTGTATAATTTGTATGTTTCTTCCAGTGATATTATTATTTCTGGTTATTTCTTTTGCTGCTATGAGAATCTCCGTGAGCTTGGTTTGAACTACACTGGCACTACTGAACATAGCCCATTTTATGTTTAGGTTTAAGGATCTGGAGTATATTCCACATCCTGAGCCTTGTTTTGTTTTAGAACTGTCGGTGTAGATATGAATCGTACCTGCCATTTCCGGCTCTTCTATTTGTTCTGTTATAACTTTATATGGCTTATAGAAGATATATCTCGGTGAGATGGAGTCCATGTTCGCTTGAAGCAGTGTGAGCATATCGAGCGCCTCTTGCCAAAAGCAACGTCTCGCCTCACCAGTTCCTATATGAGGTTCTATTCCAACCGTCCGGAGGCGTGTCATTGTCATCAGAGCAACCTCCTTGATGCAAATATCAAGGGAAGTGAGACTAAGAATGACTTCCATGGCTCTGTTCGGTGTGGTTTTCATGGCTCCTGTTATGTTGAAACATGCTGTTCTTCGAATTTGTTCTAGTTTGCGGATAGCTGTCAATCTTTAGGTTTTGGGTACCCAGACAACTGCACCGTATATTAGCATAGGTCGTATGATGGCCATGTAAGTCCATGCGATGACTCTGGGGAAGAAACCCCAGGTTCGTCCCACGGTTCGGCGGTACTGTTCATAAGCAATATATGATCTTTTCACTCTGTTTTCTAAGACAGGTTAGATAAGTTAGTTAAGTTTTTTATTTTTCTCATTTTATATATAATTTTTTGCGAATCAACCCGCAATGACTCCAGGCCTCATAGGTTAGGTAATTTAGTTTAGTTTTGTTTTAAACATTATGTTATGTTATATTTTTTGGTACTATTTTGATTAACGCTATTTCGTTCGGGCGCTGTTTTGACTGATACGTGCTATTTCGTTAAGGCACTTTTTTGATATGCGCTATTGTGTTCAGCGCTAGTTTGTTCAGTGTTATTTCGTGACATTAAATTAAAATGGATGGTATTATATAGCAAATAATCAAACTATAACGAAGTTGATTGGAGAAAATAAAAAAGTATATTTAAATAATTTATGTAAGAAAAAGAATTTAGTGTTAACGGAAAATCGTATAGCTCTTGGGATACGAGTGAAGTAACTTCATTGAAGATTGATTCTTTGTTGTGTAACACTATCCAGTAAATACACCTCACGTTTAATTATCAGCTATTAATCAAGTACATGATGTACGATTATTATTTAACTAAAAGTAAACGAAATATATGTAGTAAATTAGGTTTATATAAAATTAATTAGCATTTTTTGTTGTTGTAGATTCGACGGATGCAAGAAATGTTGAAGCAGATGCAGGAGAAACTGAAAGTAGATGCTCAAGATAACAATAAGAAACACGAAAGTATTATCGATGTGTAGATTTATTTGTAAGTTTTTATTTAAGACCAAAGACACCTAGTTAAATGTTTTTTTTTTTTCATATTTATAACAATATTTATATGCGTAATGTATGTTATTAAAAATATATCATTTAAAATGATAGTATTTTTTTTTTATTTCTAACTTGCTAAATGTTAATAAGAACGTAATAGTAGGAATAACCACATCACTTCAGTTGGGGGTAGTAAGGATAACAACGCTGAGGTAAGTCAATCCTTTAATAAGACAAGAACCACAATACTCAAAGAGGACTGGGATACTTACAAATCTCACTTCAGAAAATATAAAAAAATCGTCCGACAAAAACAGAGAGATGCATGGAAATCCTACTGCGAAGAAATCGAAGATTTCCCGCAGGCAGTGAGGCTTTAAAAAGCTCTCTCAAAAGATCCACACTGAAGCATTGATGCGCTAATCAAAGAGGATAACACGAAAACTGCCAACCTCGAAGATAGCATCAAACTTCTGCTGTCAACACACCTCCCTGACTCGGTCATCACAGACATGGCCGACTGGGCAGAGGAAGAATACAACTCATCTCTCCATGATTGGCAAACTGCCAAACACATTGTAGACGAGAAAAAAATTAATGGGCAAATATCCAGCTTCTCTCCATTTAAATCACCAGGACCTGACGATATTTATCCAGCCCTACTTCAGTGGAGTCTGGAAAAACTTACACCGCACCTGGTGGGTATATTCAGATCCTCGTTGGCTCTGAACTATATCCCCAAATAATGGAGAGAGAGAAAAGTGGTTTTCATACTCAAACCTGGAAGGATGGATTACACTGTCCCAAAAACATACCGACCAATTATTCTGACATCGTTTTCCATTAAGACATTGGAAAGGCTATGCGAAAGGTACATAAGGGATGCGGTGATTACAACAACACCACTACACCCAAACCAACATGCATACACCCCAGGCAGATCTACTAGAAGGTGCTTTTGATAAAATCACCTTCCCAAAGATAATACACTCACTAACCAACAGAAATGTTCAACAGATGGTTAGTGGGTGGATAAGTGTAGAAGAAGTGAATATAAGGGGCTTGGTTGCAAGAGGATGTCCACAGGGAGAGGTGCTATCACCTCTACTGTGGAACATGGTCCTCAACACCCTCATCAGCCGCCTCAATAATGATAGTCACTACACAATAGCATACTCAGATGACTTGGTCTTTCTGCAAACAGGGAATTTTGAGAACATACTCTGCGAAAGAATGCAAGTAACTCTAAAAATTATAGAACAGTGGTGCAAGGACCATTCACTGTCTATCAATCCTAAGAAGACCGAAAAGGACCTTTTCACAAGGAAAAGGATGAAAATGGAATTAAAACCTCCAGAACTCCTAAACACAAAACTAAACTTTGCAATAGAGGTAAAGTACCTAGGTCTCACCTTTGACAGAAGCCATGAAAATCACACCGACCAGAGCTACGGAAGTCATTCTTAGTCTCACTCCCCTTGATATTTGCATTAAGGAGGTTGCTCTGATGACAATGACATGCTTCCGCACGGTTGGAATAGTACCTGATGTAGGATCTAGTGAGGCGAGACGTCGCTTTTGGCAAGTGGTGCTCGATATGCTCATACTGCTTCAAGCGAACATGGACTCCATCTCACCGAAACAAATCTTCCATTAGTCATATAAAGTAATAACACAACAAAGAGAAGAGCGGAAGTGGCAGGTACGATTCATATCTACACCGATGGTTCTAAAACAAAACAAGGCTCGAATGTGGAATATACTCCAGATTTTTAAACCTAAATTTAAAATGGGCTGTGAGCAATAGTGCCAGTGTAGTTCAAACAGAGCTAACGGGGATTCTCATAGCAGCAAAGAAATCACCAGAAACAATATCACTAGAAGAAACATGCTCATCTATATAGATAGCAGATAAGCACTACTCACCTTGAACAGGCCACTAATTTACTCAGGGTTAGTACTGCCGAAGTATCCATTAACAATGTGGTCACCTTAAGATGGATCAAAGGTCACATCGAAAGGTAACCGTCTTGCTGATTCACTAGCCAAGAAAGCAGCCAACCAAATACTTTTTGGATCTGGCCCTTCTATTGGCCGGACAAAATCGGTAGTGATAAATCTAATTAAAGAACATTTCCTTGTGAAATTCAAGGAAAGATGGGATGAAACAAGAAACTGAAGTTATCCTGACAACACTACAGCAAACAAATACTTGACTATGACTAGACAGAATCTGCCCTTAGTCACAGGCATTCTGACTGGTTATTTCCATTGCCATTGCCTCTGCAGAGGGTGCGAACAAGAAGATGAGATCATCGAGCATATTTCTTACGATTGCTCGACTCCCTCATTTATTAGAAAATTTGTGTTCAGCGAGTATCGGCTAAACACCTGCTGACATATGAGAAGCACCTCTTGGCGACGTTGTCAACTGCATTAAATCTGTAGGCTTGCTCACAAGCTAGGAGGTGTCTATCATCTATCATCACGCACAATGGGCCTAGGGAGGCCTAAGTGCCGTGGGGGTAATCCACCCTCCACACGTTACAGATACATAGAAAAATAACCATTAAGTAAGTAGCTTAGGTGCTTCTTTTGCGCTTTATTTGCAATAATTATGGTACGAGCGCAAAAGCATATCTTCACGAGCTTATATAATACCTTTTATCTACGACCAAACCTAAAGAAGCAAAGATTTGTAGAAATTAAAGTTTAATGTATAAATATGAAATTGTAGGGTGATGAATGCTATTACTTTGAATGGTGTTACGTTAGTAATGTGTAATGTGATACTTTTTTAATATTCTTGAAAATAAGAAAAAATATTTTCTCAGCAGGGATAGGGCAAAGGGAGGTAAGTTGACGTACTTATAGATTTTTGGCCCCTAAATTTGTTATTTATAAAAAATATGGTATGCCTTATATTGGAGATTTGAATTAAACTATATTTAAAACGACTGGCGATGAAATATTTAATAAAAAAATATTTTAACACAAAAAATAGTGAAATAAGTAAATAGCCAATTACCCCTCATTGCTGATAAGTTGACGAATTGCTGTGGGTAAGTTGACTAATATTTTAAATTGTAAAAAGAAGTTTAAAACCAAAATTATAAAATATATTTTCTTATGAAATTCTTAAAGCCTACCCTGTGTACGCTCGACCTTCACATTGCGACCGACTCGTGCTCGAGGCGACGGAATGTTCTGGGAATGCCGCTGAGGCTCGAGAAATAGCTGGAACGGCGGAGAAGTGCCGTTTAGTCATAGGAATGGAATGTTCGAGACGACCGTCGAGAGCCTCTAGCATTTTCCAGTAGCGGAGTTGGACTAATATAAATATCGGACGTATCAGCGCCGAGTTTAGTTGAAGATAGAACATTGTATTGGAAAGTTAAAGTGTAAGAAATAAATTAGAATTGTTAGTTAGTATTATATAAATTAAATAGTACGTCTGAAATAAATTGTAAATAGTGTATTTTTAAATAAATAAACTAAAAATAAATTAGACTTTCGTCACAATTTATTAGTTTTAAACTCAAAGAAACAGAGAAGAAACGTAGGTAATTCGCTAATTAGCTTTACAAAAGAAAATTATAAAAATAAACAGAACAAAAAACATAGTTTTTTAAATAATTAAACCATCAGGAACAAAATTCACAAATCCATATTTTAGCTTAAGCTTCTTTATGATCTAAAGTAGTACATTGTAAATTATACAAAGCTTGTCATCTTCAATTTCCAAATCCATGTCATCGTCAGTGTCGAAATAAGCCACTTCTGCTGAGGATTCCGAATCAGATAGATTAAGAAAATACTTTGTGTTTGACATTTTGTAATGTTTTTGTGTTTTTTACCTTTTTATCATTATCTTATTATTATTATTATTATTATTATTATTATTATTATTATTATTATTATTATTATTATTATTATTATTATTATTATTATTATTATTATTATTATTATTATTATTATTATTATTATTATTATTATTATTATTAGTTTTTTTTATTTATCTTAGACTCTTCTAGAAGTGTTTCTTTTTCCATTTTTATGATCCTTGACCTGGGCTATATGTCATGTTTATGTCTTTGAAAAAAAAAACGAAAGTAAAAATCTCTAAAACTGTATCACATAAAAAGTTTATAAAAAGTTTTCATCTGTCCAATGGCTCTCTTTAGAGGGTGGTCGTAAATACATTTTAGAATACATTTTAATATTTTTTATTTGCTCCATACTGTATATAAAATATAGCTTATTAATTAAGTGCGTTAGAGAAATGATAGCCCAAATTCTTAATCCTTGAATTATTATTTGTATAGACATTCTGAATGTATTTTTCTATTTGCCTTTATAACAATCTAAATCCATTTTTTTGGCGACCTATTTTTACGAATATAAGTTTAATAATTAGTAGTGTATCTATCATCACACAAGGAGAGTAGGCCAGACACGATAATAGGATAACACTCTTTCAAAATTGACAAAAACAATACAAAAATATGTGGTTACTTTTAAAAGACGCGCAAATATTGTCGAATTGAATGTTGAAAATTTTGAAACATAAAAACTAAAAAATCGAAAAACGTCTTATTATTTTTATATTTTAGTTTCACTAATATATATGTATATTTTTCTTAATTTTAAGTTAAGATTAGTATCGATATGAATAATGTAGGTAATCATAAATCCCTTCGAGTTCAAAGAAAACCACATAAATTGAAAGTTAAATTCGAGAGAGGCTTAATTGATGATTCCTACCTTATCGAGATTGAGGCCCACGTAGCATAAAGAAACGATGAACGATTTGATTTTGAACGGAAGGCCGAAAGACGATGAGAAGTATTAGGATGATGAATTTTCAGGTTTGTGAAGCATTGGCGTTACTTAGGCTAAATCACGTAGCCTATCTTCAAATTCTAGCCCTAATTTTTAAGAACCATTCTATGTTTGATTTGGGTTTAAAAATTATTAGAACAAGTTATGAAAAATATTTGCCAATAAAGTCTGCTCATGTAAAAAATTTGCCACTTAAGTCGGTTCATGTAAAATTATTTGGTCCCTTTACTCCTTAAGCCTGTCCATATTTAAGCCCTTTGTCCCTTAAGCC